GTTTCCTTAAAGTCTGAGCATATAGTAAGCTCACTTTATCATCTCACTCACTACACATCTCACTGGTTGGTCCTTTGAGTTGTGGTCCATTTAAATTCCCAGGCCAGTGAACACTGACGTTGTTTGAGTCCTTTTATCGTTTCTCAAATGTTTGGTTATTAAAGAATGACTATTGGGTGCCCAGGACCTTTATTGTTGTTGCCATGGTATCAAATCTGGTGTCGGTATTATCTGAACCTTACTAGTAATATATTGAAGCTTAAAAATTAATATTGTGACAAACGTAGTAAAGATACATTTTCACCTTTCAATGGCCCCACATTGAGTCTTTAGTTGGTGTTGTCCTTCATCTGTTACCATGATGTTATTTGAGAGTCTGCGTTCAGGGCACCACTACAACATGAAGCTCAGTCTTTATGTTCAAGAAAGATGATAGCTGATAAAGACCTGGGTGCATTCAGTCAGTGAAACCAGCTCATCTGGATACCTTTTATTGTGCTAGCTAAGAATGTTCCAGTTTAAGCTTTTAATGTTGGGTGGGGGCTTGTTGCTCCAGGAGCATCCAGACCGGCTGGTTTGGTCACCAGATCTGAGTGAGACGCATGAGAACCCGACTCAATTACTCTGACTAAGGGTCAGGGGCAGAACGAGTACAACAATGTTGAACACAAGTAAAAGTCAGTCATGTATGTAACCAGGAAAACCTCATTGAGATTAGGAAGAGTGTCCTGGCCGACACGGGCAGCAGAAGCATGTCAACAAGTTGCAGACATCAATCAGAGTCATGACAAACACATGTCAACATCTTCTGAGTCCCAGTGCAGAACGCCATCATTCAAAGCATCTTAAACCGGACGCATTTTCCTCCGACACCTTCAGAGAGAGCAGCTCCCCCAGACCCAGATCCTCCTGCAGGAGCAGAGTTCCTGAAACTCCTTCTCCTAATTTAAAGACGCACTCTGGGGACAGAAACTGCCAGCAAGAATAACTGTCAGTTTCCAAAAGATCGCTGTGCATCACGCACTCTGGAGCTGAGCGCGCCCTCTCTAGTCAATGATGGCATTTCCTCTGCACATCGCGGCCCGTCTCCAGGTCAGCAGCGCCACTCCGCTCAGAATATGTGCCGACTCTATTTTTGACAGACCCCGCTGCAAGCAAGTGTAGCGTTAATTTCAAAATAAAACACAACATACAGACTCCTGATGGTTTATTCCATCACTTTGTCAAACATGACGTCAAACCAGGCACCGAGTGAACAACAAATCATCCTCAGAAAGACAAAGGCAAGGCAAGTTTATTTGTATAGCACATTTCAACAACAAGGCAATTCAAAGTGCTTCACACAAGACATCAAAAGCATCATGACAGAGGAAAGAAAAGAAACATTAACATTTAAAAATCACTGAAATTATTTAAATCTGAAAATATGTTCAAATAAAAATAATTCAAATGAAATTAATTGAAAAAATCAAGTAAAAATATAAAAAGAGTTAAAAGTTACAGTGCAAATTGAGTTAAAATTTTAAATCCTATTAAATCTGTTTAATGAAAGGCAGCTGTAAACAGGTGAGTCTTCAACCTGGATTTAAAAGAGCTGAGAGTTTCAGCAGACCTGCAGTTTTCTGGGAGTTTGTTCCAGATATAAGGAGCATAGAAACTGAACGCTGCTTCTCCATGTTCGGTTCTGACTCTGGGGACAGAGAGCAGACCTGTCCCAGACGACCTGAGCGGTCTGGATGGTTCGTAATTAATCAGGCGATCACTAATGTATTTTGGCCCTAAACCATTAAGCGCTTTATAAACCAGCAGCAGGATTTTCAAGTCTATTCTCTGACAGACTGGGATCCAGTGTAAGGACCTCAGACCTGGACTGATGTGATCCATTTTCTTGGTTTTGGTGAGGACTCTAGCAGCAGCGTTCTGGATCAGCTGCAGTTGTCTGACTGATTTTTTAGGCAGACCTGTAAAGACACTGTTGCAGTAATCAAGACGACTGAAGATAAAAGCATGGACAAGTTGTTCTAGGTCCTGCTGGGACTTAACACCAGGAGCTTTTCAATGTTTACAGCTGAGAAGCAAAAGGTCTGGTGGGTTTAGTAAATATGTCAGAGACGATTTACTGACAGAGAACACCTGAAAGACAAGAACTACCTGCTGCCAATCATCACAGGATTAGTAAATCATTTCTCACACACACACACACACACACACAGACACACACACACACACACACACAGACACACACACAGACACACACACACAGACACACAGACACACACACACACACACACACACACACACACAGACACACAGACACACAGACACACACACACACACACAGACACACACACACACACACACACACACACACACACACACACAGACACACAGACACACACACACACACACACACACACACACACACACACACACACACACACAGACACACACACACACACACACACACACACACACACACACAGGTGTTATTATAAAGCGGCTCAGCTGGGGAGAGCTGCTTTAACGCCTCTGGAGAATTTTCTGCTTTTCATTGGCTTTGACGCAAAACGACACTTGCAGACTGTGGAGGGTGGAGCAAACAAAGGTGTGTCTCTCTCCCCTTCAGGTAAAACACACACATTCATACGGACACACTCACACATAGACCATGGTTACGGACACTCCAGTAACACAGAGGAGGGTTAACTGTAAGAACAAGGTGAGAGTGACTTTAAATGCGACATCATTAAGCCAGCAGAGAAACATCCTGTCATGTTCTCTGCTCTGTGACACACCTGTGAGGACGACAGCTCGCACCTGTGGCCGGAGAGTTTTAACATGTTGGAGAGTGGCTCTACTAAGAGAGGACAAAGGTACGTCTGCTTCTTTATAACTCTATTTCCTTTATCGTGAAGTGAAGGGGAGAGGGAGGGGGAGGAGGAAGAGCGATGAATCACAGTGTTGAAAAGTCTCAAACATGACAGGAAGTTAAATTCAGACACCGTTACAATCACTGCAATTTTTGTCAGGCTTGGTAAAGCGCAATGCGTGTACTAACCTAACTTGTTTGCATTTTATCCTCCCAGTATTTTGGACGTTAGGGCAGAAATGCCCCATATTGCATATTCATTAAGGAAAACGTACTAAATGGTCAATGTGTGTTGTTTTGCTCATTTGAAAGACGCAATCCTCACTGCACGCCGTTAGTAGATCAGAGAGCACTTTTTTTGCTGGTGGTATCAAGTTTGCACACGTTTTAAGACACGCAAAACTTTAGTAAATCTGGCCCTTAGAGACTGTAGGTACCACGAGCAGGCCTGATAACTGAAGACCCTTCCTCCCATAGTACATTTAGAGACTAGGTACCACAAGCAGGCCTGATGACTGAAGGCTCTACCTCCCAAAGTAAATTTAGAGACTGTAGGTAACACGAGTAGGTCTGCATTCTGGGATCGTAATGTTCGTAAGGGTAGTACAGCACTATTAGCTCTTTAAGATAAGATGGTGCCTGACCATTTAGAGCTTTGTAAGTGAGAAGAAGGATCTTGAATTCTATTCTAGACTGTATAGGGAGTCAGTGCAGAGAAGCCAAAACAGGAGTAATGTGGTCCCTGTTCCTAGTTCTAGTCAGTACACGAGCTGCAGCGTTCTGGACTAGTTGAAGAGTCTTTTTACATGCTCTTTTGTAATGTTAAAAGACAAAGAGTAAGGTATTTTACCTGCTTTTTGTAAAGTATCTCGAGATAACACTTGTTATGAGTTGACGCTATACAAATAAAATTTGATTGATTGAATGATAGTTTTGTTCTGGTTTTGCGACATTCCTGATTTCAGATAACAAAGGTGAAAATAGGCTGTCTTAAAATTTGCTTGATGTGAGAGTTAAAGGACATGTTTTGGTCAAATAGAACTCCTAGATTCCAAACAGTGGTGCTAGATGCCAGGCTGATATCATTAGGACGGTTATATCATTTGATAAAGTCTCTCTGAGGTTGTTACGGCCTAGCACAATAACTTCAGTCTTGTCTGAGTTAAGAAGCAAAACTCTTCTGTTCATCCAGGTCCTATTGTCCTTGAGGCATGTTTCTAGTTTACATAACTGATTGGTGGCATCAGGCTTCATTGATACATAAAGCTGAGTATCATCTGCCTAACAATGATAATTGATGTTTCCTTTATTAGGTGAAAATAATTTGTCCAAGCACAGAAACTTGTGGAACTCAATCATTCTGAGGACAGAAGCAAATAATTTGTAACTTTCACCAGTGCAGTCTCAGTGCTATGTTGGACTCTAAATCCTGACTGAAAATAAAAAACTGTTATTGTGGAAGAAACATAAAGGTTGGTTTCAGTGGGAAATGTAAAAAGACAGTTTAAATGTCCAAGGACGAGATGTATCTTGTCTGTCAAGTTATTTCATGATAATTATTTTATTATTTAAAGCATATTAATGATATGCCATTTTTTCTCCATCAATGTGTCCCCCAGTGTCCCTCCAGATCAGAGCACGGTGGAAGTCGGGGATCCGGCAGAAAGCAGAAGATGGTGCGATCTTTCGCGACGTCACTTCTTCTTCATCTTGGTGGTCGGAACAGTTTTGTTTGTCTACAGCACAAACATGACGGAAATGTCGTCAGACTGGAACCCTCAATGGCTTAAAAACTACAATGCAAAAAAATTCAAAATACCTCAACCCGCTGCTGTCAGGATTACAAATAAGGATATCTCACCAACATCAGCGGTGACGAACATTACGACTTCAGAAAACAAATCTGAGCCCCAAACTCCGCCTCCTTACAAATCTCCAGGACCGTACTTAGTGGAGTACCCCTACGAGTACCACTTCACCATAAATGAGCCAAACAAATGTGAGCAGCAGAAACCCTTCCTGGTTCTGATAGTTCCTGTGGCGCCCCACAACAGGGCGCACCGCGACATCATCCGCAGCACGTGGGGAAATGAGGCCCTGGTCCTGGACAAAGTGGTGAACCTGTTCTTCCTGCTAGGGCAGCAAAACGGGGAGGGGGCAGAACAGCTTCAGGAGCAGCTGCTGCAGGAAAGCAAAGAGCACGGAGATCTGATCCAGAGCAACTTCATAGACTGCTACAAGAACCTGACCATCAAAACCATGGTGATGATGGAGTGGCTGGACTCGCACTGCTTGGGCACCTCGTATGCCATGAAGATTGATTCAGACATGTTTCTCAATGTGCCCAAACTGGTCAGCATGCTGTCAAACGTTCCAAAGACAAACTACCTGACAGGACTAGTGGCGAGAGGAGGTGCTGTCCTGAGAAATAAAGCCTCGAAGTGGTACGTACCAGAGTATATTTACGCCCAAGCATATTACCCACTCTATGCTTTGGGTCTAGGCTATGTTTTTTCTGTGGACCTTGCCAAAAAGCTGGTGGAGGCTGCCAGACATGTTAAACCTATCTACATTGAAGACGTGTATTTAGGGCTGTGTATGCAGTACTTAAACATCCCCCCCACTAACCCTCCAAACTGGGGCTATTTTCATGTTTTTCCTGCGCAATACAGCCGCTGCACATACTCCAAGCTAATAGCCACAACGACAAACCCAAGCCTGGATCGTGTGTGGGCTTGGAAAGACTATAAGAAACCTGGAAAATACTGCTGATCTGGATTATGTCATAAAACGGCTGATGAACGGTGTAATATGTTATTACAATGAAGACTGAATTCCTCATTCATGCTTGACCAAAAGGAGGACCTAAAGGAGATGTCCGCACATCCAATTTCTGATGAAATAAGTGCGTAAGAAATGAAACTGTCACTTTGAAAATAAAAAAATCCTGCGATAATCAAGAACAGACTTGACAAAGAGGGACTGACAACGTTGGGATCTTTTCTAATAAATTGGTGATGCCTAGCAAGATTAGGGTGTGGGATCTTTACTTTCTTCTCCAAAAGACATAAAATGTTAATTACTTGCCTGCAGCCTTCATTTTGAATGTCTAACTGGATGTGGGATAGCATTTTGCTAACATGAAAGCTTTCTTTTAACTGTCACACCTGAATAACTGGATTTGCCCCCTGCTGGCCATAATAGAGACTGCAGGTTTGAGGTGCTTCAGCATTGATTTCACTTTGGAGAGTAGAAGCTACGTCCACTTCCTATGAACAGTCGATGTTTTATAACCAGCAATGTCAGAATCATTTTTCTGACCTGCTGTTTTGAAAATAGTGAAAGAGATGGAGCCAGAAGGTTAAAAACATGTACAAATATATCTTTCTATTTTTTATGGACGGTTGGGGATTTAACTTATATGAAGGAAAAAAATGGTAACATAAGGAGTGTTGGATTTATGAAGGTTGTTTGATGTCTAAAGTAAAGATGAATTTTACTAGAGCTCCAATAAAGTTAATTCTGTGGCCTTCAATGTGATTTCACTGCTTTGTGGATTTTTGGCAGCAGAGAAACGCTGCTCTCACTCATGGATCTGGAAGCGTGTTGAGACACATTGCAGTTTCCAGAGAGGATATGTGTTTGTTATTCCTCCTCATGACAGGGTAGGGCGGAGACTATAGCCAATGAAAAGAAATTCTCATGATGTTATCTGAAAGAGAGTCCGCCTGTTAAGTCTTTAAACAGGAGCGGTAAAAATGGAGAGACAGAGTTTGTTGATCATCTTTACAAGTTTGTAAAGGAGTTATGTTACTTTCACTGAAACGTAATTTCATCACCCACACATTTACAAAGGGGGAGAACAGTCTGACTGTGTGTGTATGTGGAGATCCCGCTGTGCCGTAACGCAATGTGACTCCATAATACGCCGTCACAGAATCAATATGAATGTAGAAAGACGTGATGGCGGCTGAGCCAGGCACCATGGCCAAAAAGGCAGTTTCAAAAGGGTCACAGACTCGTTTCAGGCTTTTCACTGAATATTCGGGGGAAAAGTTTTCAACATTTGATACTTTAATACTCTTTTGAACCACGTGTTTGAAAACGAATCAACCTCAATTGTTTTGATGATCAGTAATATTGAAACGAACCGAAGCATTAAAAAAACCAAAAAACTCTTCCGTCACATTTTAACTCTTTAGCTCTAGGACTTCTATTTGTGTTGCCGTGGTGACAAAAAAGGTATCAAGGTAAAAATTCTGGTGCATAATGTTATCTTGTATCAATAAAGTTCATTTTGGGTTTGAACATTTTCAGAATAAAATCGTAAATTCCTTGACTTCATTCTCATTGAGTTTATATTCTCACAACATATTTCTGTCAGCAGAATTCTTAAACACCTGCACATCATGTTTCCAAGCTGTTGCTGCCAATTCCCCTCAGTCACTTTGACATTTTTCATTTTTGTTTTGTTGTAAACACAAGTGACATAAGACGAGTGCAGAAAACCAGTTTGGTTTCGGCTCACCAGTCAGACTGGTCCAACACCCCCCGTCCCCCAGTTTTTCGACCCTCTCTTACTTTAGCATACATTCAGGGCGGAGAGCCTTCAGTTTCGTTGGGGGGGGGGGGAGTGATCAGAAATCTTTGCAGCCAGTGAAGCAAGTTCCTGATTTGTCCAGAGAGATCACATTTGTGAGAGCTATCAGTTCTTGTTTGAATTCTATGGAACTGTGAATGTTGCAAAACTAACGGACAGATCCGCAAATACAAAACTCTGCAAATATGTTGAGTATTTTGTTAATGTTGACAGATGGATTTGAGAGGCTTTGTTTACCCAGACGGCGTAACGTGGCAAACTAAACATCTGCCAAGCCGAGCACCTGTTGGTGTTTTTGTTTATTTACCACAAAGGGTCACCTGTTTATTTCCACTTAGATATCTCATTCATGTTGTTTTATCTGACATCCTTTACTGTCCTGCTTTTAGTTCTTTAGTTCGTATGATGTCTCGGTTTGAGAATCGAAATGTTTTCATCCAGTTATCTCATCCCTACAACAACAACTGTTGTTACATAAAGACACCCATCGATGGAGTAACTGTGTTTTTTCTATCTTGGTCTCTCTGACAGTTTGTTTTACTCCACACATCCTGTTGTAAAGCAGAGACACCTAGTGGACATAATGTGTATTACAGTCGGATAAAGACAAACCTAATGAAGACCTCACACGCCGTTTTTCACTCATCACGCGAATCTTCCCGCCCTTATTTCCGTCATAAATCGGTCACACAAACACGATAAACATATTTCTTTGGATTAACTGTCACTTAACCTTTTAAAGACGACCAATTTCCCGATGTTACTCCTTAGAAAACGTCCGTAATCTCGCTTTGAAAACGGAGGACAAAAAAAGAGGTACCTGCTAACAGCAGAACCTGCCTGAGAAATGTTATATTTTTTTATTTAATTTGGTCTAAAACTAAACTAATGAAAGTTGTCTGTACACCCATGGGCTCTCTGGAAACCAGAAGAGCTGGTTGTTGATCCGGCATTATTTTATATGAACAGAATATTGAACAGCCTGAAATAAACTACGTTACTTTAGAAATAAATTAATTCCAGGATGACTTCCGGTTTCCTTCTACCTAGGATTATAGGAGTTGTAGTTATAAAACCTTGAACACGATATCAACGGATTTAGTTGAAAAACAAAGACAAACTATCATTAACCTTTAAAAGAACCTGTTTCTGTTTCGATATGAATATTTGGGAGATTATCCGTTAAATATATTAGTGATAAAATATTAAATTATAATTCTTTTTTTAAATTCATCACATTAGTTTTGATTGAGTGCAGAGAAAAAAGAAAGTTAGTCGGCTGTAATGAAGATGCAGTTATAAGGAGACAAAGACACATTCAAAAAAAGTCAAATCAGGACAAACTCTTTAATTCGGGGAGAATTTCATGTAAAATGTGAAAAGGAACAGTAACAAAGTTGAACAAACATTTGAGATGAAACAGCGCAGGAGTCATGAGGCTTGTTTGTTAAGTATCCTCCTTTATTCAAACTTCAGGATCACAGTTTTAAACTAAAAAAACATTACCTCGTTAAAAATCCCAAAGAGAAAGAAGATGTTAGAATAAATTTATAAAAATGTATGGAGTTACATTTAGAGATGTCTTAAAGCTTTTTTTCCAGCAGAGGGCAGCATTCACAGCTTTATAAAGACAACCCCTTAATCCTACGTTCCCTCTGAGGAAAGTAATAAAAAATATAAAACTAAACAAATTACTTCAAATTACTTTAAATTATTTAAAAAGTAAAAAGTGTAAACATAATAAAATAATATCAAAAATGAAAACAGTCAAATAAAACATACAATAATTAAAAATAATAAGATAAATAAAATGCAAAAAAATCATTACAACATAATAAAATAAAAAAATAAAAACAATACTAAAAGAATAAAAAAATAATAATATTTAAAATTTGTCACCAAACTTTTATTTATTTTTAACAAAAATGCAGTTGTACATTATGTTGTACATTCAGTAGAAGCTCTGTTGAGATACACAGGAAAGAAAAAGAAACCTGCTCATGATGTCATACTCCTTTTTATAGCATCAACTAACGTTTTGAAACTAAACTTCTCTGAGAAATGAACACCTGGACATCAGTCGGCAAGATAGTAACTAACTATAATGACAGAATCCGGGGTTGGACAAAAAGTATTTGACGTGTACTTTGATTTAATAGTTTGACTAATGTCCTGTCTGTTAACATGGAGGAGGCGGAGCTTATGACGTATACTGCAGCCAGTCAGCAGAGGAGGCTCTAAATATTTTGGCTTCACTCACAGGTGGCTGTATCTTCTTAATATAATGCAAATCAGACTGAAAATATGTTTTTTTAATGACTTAGCATGGTCACGGTACGGTTTTATTTAATTATTTAATGAGAAGCAGACTGTTCAAAAGAAGCACTTCACGGCTGTATTTATGTGAGCTTTTATGTGTGAGATGCCTTTGAATAAACATTTCTAATCATTTAGTGTTCCAAAGCAAATCAAGGGTAGAGTGTGTCTGTTTTTAAGTTGTTTTTTTGTAGATTTTTTTACCTTAATTTATGTGACTACTGCATTTTTTAAGCACCTCCACAGCTTCTTTTTTAACTTTCTTATTGTGTAGTGGAATTTGTTACCCGATAGTACGCAGACCCCCAAGGTTGAAGGAAAAAAATGTATACATAGCCATTTGTGTGAACATTTTAGAAATCCTCGGAACATTTTACAAATCTGTGCGAATGGCACATGAAAAGACAGCTTAAGCGTCTCCAGCACAGAGACCTTTTGGTTAAAGTATCATGTTGTGTTATTTGTTGTAGTTTGGTACCACACAGGTGCAGGCCACAGGTACGGTGATGAAGTCTTTACTCAGTCTGTATCGGTTTCCTCCACAGCGAGTCCTCCTGAAGACGAGCAGCGAGGCGTTCACTTGCACTGAGTTGTAGTTCCAGTCTTCTTGTCCATTCAGGATGCAGTGTTCACAGAGACAGTCTGCAAAGGCGATCACAGCAGGGATCCTCTCCGTGTCCTTGTTCAGTCTGAAGCAGACGATCACAGAGAGCAGACGTCAACAAACAGAATCATTTATGTTTTTCTTGTGAGGGTTTTTCTTGTGTGACAGGGTTATAATTAGAGTTTATCAAAAGACCCAACTATTAGAGCTTCTTAATAAAGCTAACCATTAGAGCTTTTAAGCAGAGCCAACTATTATAAATAACTATTAGAGCTTCTTATGAGAGCTAACTGAAAGAGCTAACCTTTAGAAATTCTAATTGTAGCTAAATATTAGAGCCTCTAATTGGAGCTTCTTAATATAGCTTCAAATGTAGCGTCTTATTAGAGCTTCTAATTCAATCTTTATATTAGAGCTAACTATTAGAGCCTCTTATTAGAGCTTCAAATGTAGCTTCTTATTAGAGCTTCTTATTAAAGCTAACTTTTAGAGCTAACCATTTGAACTTATAGTTGGAGCTAACTATTTGAGCCTGCAATTAGAGCTTCTTAATATAGCTTCAAACGTAGCTTCTTATTAGAGCTTCTTATCATAGCTAGAATTAGAGCGTCTTATTAGAGCTTCTAATTAAATCTTTACATTAGAGCTAACTGTTAGAGCTTCTAATCAGAGCTTACTACTAAAGCTTCTTATTAGAGCTAATATTAGAGCTAACTATTAGGGTTTCTTATTAGAACTTCTTAATGGGTTAACTATTAGAGTATTACTTAGAGCTCAGTATTAGTTTTTTATTAGAGCTAACTATAAGAGCTTCTAATCAGAGCTAAGGATTGTAACTTTTAATCAGAGCTAACTATTAGAGCTTGTTATTCAAGTTTCTTATTAGAGCTTCTAATTAGACCTAAAAATTAGATCTAACTGTGAGAGCTTCTTATTAAAGCTTACATCATGCAGCGACCGTACAGTGTGTGTCGATTGAGACATGAGCTAATCAGACCTGTTTGGTTTTTTGAACCAGGCTGTAAACATGTTAATTTCTGCTGTAAAAACAGGCTTTTTAGAATGGGTGTGTATGGCCATCTTCACATATGCACTCCTGAACAGCTCAAGGTAATTTCAGAATTATATCCTGCTGCGTTCTCACATCAGCTCACTCTGACTTTCTGCAGAATAAATACGAGGAGGCTGGAGGAGAAACTCCGGGTGAAGAGAGAAACATTCAGCGGTTTGTGTTCACACATGACGCTCAGCCTGCAGATATCAGGACAATTTCAGGAGGATTCTGCAAGTATGAAAGCTCTACGTGTGACTTCCTCTGCTTCTTTAGCCAGCCTCTAGTGGACACTAAATGAACTGCAGGATTTTGCACTGTTTTCATTTTATTTTTTCCAACACCTGAGGTTGCTGCTTGTTTGTTTTTTTCATATTAGATCGAGTGAAAGGCTTCAAGTGAAATGAGATCTACCAGTTTCCAATCATTCTGGAGAAAGTTCCCTGCAGAGGAGGCAGCCAAGCTAAACGCTCTTTTCCCAGGCTCAGTGTGGACACGAGGAACAGAACGTTTAACTACATCACAGGAGCATAAATAAGAAGGAATTAAACCAAGAAGAGCTTTATAAAAAAAGACTCAGCCAGTGTTTATACCTGCACTGATAAATGTAAATCAGTGTGAGCTGCTGTTGGTACTCTTCAGTATTTAATGAACATTACAAGTAGTTAAGAAAATATGTGCTCGCTCATCATATAAAGACTTCTATCAGCACCCTCAGATGAAGCTGACGTCCGTCCAGCGTCTCTGAATTAATATGTACTACACATGTTCTTGTGGGTTTCTGTTATGATGTTTTTATTACCTAAGAGGTTTTATTGGCCGTCCTGTCTCCTGACATGCTTTTTTATTGTAAGTTGCACAGTGTGTGTTTCCTCTCTACTTCTACCAAAGCTAAATCTCCCCCTCAGGACAATAAAGATTCATCTGATACAATATCTTTTAAAAACAAGAAATTACCCAATATTGGCGTCTAAGACTTCCATAGGCTATTTGTTGCCAAGGTATCAAAGTATGGAAGCGATTAGTGATCAACATTAAAATGATAAAGCTAATTTGAAAATTCTAATGCATTAACAGAGATGCTTTTTAATTTTCAGAATATGAGTGTATTATGTGACTCAAAAATAACATGATGATTAATTTATCTAATTTGAATTTTAGTTTTCAACTTTCAAAATTGCACATTCTTTGACTAAATTAAAATGAAGAAGAAAATTACATTTGCTTTTTCATTTTCATAAAATGCCCCGCTAAATTTGTATCATAATTCAAATGAAAAAGCTAATTTTAAAATGGAAATATATTATATATTTATATTCAAAATCCAGTTTGCATTATACTTTTACTCTCTATGTATGCATATACATAGAGAGTATATGTGATCATAATTCAAACCAACTCGAAAACGAAATGGCAAAGTGGACGGCGCAGGAAAGTGACGTCAGACTCCAGCTCCCAGGCAGGCGAACGTAATATTTACAGTCTATGAGGCGAGCGGGCAGAATGCGCAGTACGATTGGTGGCGGGGTGAATCTTTAACACTAGGGCAGACTTTAGTTCACACTGTGATGCAAGTGGCGATCAGAGTGTTTTTTTCAGCGCACACTGAACTTTTAGCGAGCATGACGCAGCAGCTTTATAACCCGAGCTGCCAAGTCTCCTGCATGACACCATGCCCACTATCTCTGACCGTGACAGTCACTCAGCATCTGCACGCCGTGAAATTCACACAGACATGTCCTAAGACCAGTTTATTGATAGATTATAGATCACTCTCTTCTCTGCTTAACTTAGTTACATTAAAAAAGGAGTATCGATTGAATTTTCTGTTTGAAATAGTCTCTCCAGCTCTGTACACAAAGTTTCAATGTCTCATCCTCTGTTCATAATGGCACACACTCTCCCTCTCGAATGACTGTATGAGCTCTCTCTCCCTTTCAGAGGTTGTTTTGTAGTTATTAAAAGAATAAAGAAAGAATAAAAACTAAAACTCCAAAATTGAATCAAAATCAGGGCAACAACTAGTTTGCAGCTTGTACCAGCGTTAAAGATTCACCCCGCCACCTATTGTACTGCGCGTTCTGCCCGCTCGCCTCATAGACTGTAAATATTACGTTCGCCTGCCTGGGAGCTGAGTCTGACGTCACTTTCCTGCGCCGTCCAGTTAGCCATTTCGTTTTCGAGTTGGTTTGAATTATGCTCACTTTTTAGCACAGCAAGATTGAAAACGAAAAGCCAAAGACCTTTTAGTTTTCATTTGAATGATGTCATACAATATGCATACATAGAGAGCAAAAGTATAATGCAAACTGGATGACTGAATATTCATTTTACATATAGGTAAAATAATGCACCTATAATCTGAAAATTAAAACGTGTTTCTTTTACTGAATTTTCATTTTAAAATTAGCTTTTTCATTTGCATTATGATACAAATTTAGCGGGGCATTTTTTGAAAATGAAAAAGCAAATGTAATTTTCTTCTTCATTTTAATTTAGTCAAAGAATGTGCATTTTTGAAGTTGAAAACTAAAATTCAAATTAGATAAATTAATCATCATTTTATTTTTGAGTCAAATAATACACCCATATTCTGAAAATTAAAAAGTATTTCAGTTAATGCATTTGAATTTTCAAATTAGCTTTATCATTTTAATGTTGATCACTAATCGCTTCCATATCAAAGAGGTAACAATAGACTATCATTAGATTTTGACTTAAATCAAATCAAAGTTTAAACATGTGGTATTTTCACAGCTCTAGTACTCCCAGCTCTCAGGTTATGATGTTTTAAAACACTCATTAATAGCCTACAGCAAGGGTGTCCAAACTTTTTTTCTTGCGGGCCAAAATTGTCGTGTTAGAATCTCTCGCGGGCCACAGGTTTTTTTTTTTTTTTAAATATAGTTGAAAAAATAGTAAGACTTTGTAGATCAGAATCTAAAGAAACCCTTTAATAAAAGGAAATCAAATATTTAGATTTCTTCGTCCTACTTTATTTGTTTTTATCTCAGAGCCTGTAACGTGGTTCATTTAGCTCAGGTCATTAAATGGTTAAACAACAGTCCGCTTGTTTGCAAAAACTTTGCATACGTTGTTTTTTCATCGTTTACAAAAAAAATGTGGAAAATAGTAAAATCTGTAGATTTAAAAAAAACAAAAAAAAAAAAACATACATGTTACTGAACATTTTCTGTTTTAGGAATATTGTTCAGCCCTTGTTAACATGAAAAATAAAAATAAGGTAACGTGCCAATCTTAATCAATAAAATCTTCTGATTCTTCATTTGAAGTCACGGGCCGCAAAAAATCCCCTCAAGGGCCGCAAATGGCCCTCGGGCCGCACTTTGGACACCCCTGGCCTACAGCCTCAGTGCGGGTTTTTTGTCCCTCTGGACCCTCCGTAGCTGCACCTTAACCTACCTGTACGTCCAGGGGGACAGGGCGCGGTTCTTCAGCTTCCCGCGCATCTCTGTGGCGGCCTGTGCGCATGTCCTCTGCGGCGGCTCCTTAAGGACTTCCAGGTTGTTCTCGTAGAGTCTCATTAAATTGTCTGAGCGGTCTTTGATCGTATCCTCACGGGTACATCTGGAGCCTCTGACGGCGGCATGTGAGGCGGTGTGCATGAGCAGAGAGCCGATGGAGATCTGTGAACGTTCAACAACACGTTTAACGACAAAGTTAGGAAGAAAAAACACTAAGGAGACTTTCAAGCGTTCAGAGAGAAACTTCAGTTACCATCTGCAGGCTGACCCACGCCATCCTGAACCGAGAATTAAGGTGACTGAACCCAGCTCCATTTTACCCGGTTTATATATGTTTACAGTCCCAACACGTGTAAACCTGGGAAATCCTGAACACAAGTTATTTCCTCCTAATCAGACAAAAACATAAGCCTTCTCTTAACCCCGCCCCCATCTCGGGACAGGGCGGGTATGTCATACCAGCATTCCCTGAGAGCTTTAAATTCTCCAGATTTATTTTTTTACCTCCCTTTGACGCTCTCTCTGCACCTCTGAGCTCCTGTGATTCACTCAAATGTTTACTCATTTACTCATCTGAATTATATAACACTGAAAAATCATCATCTTGAGTTTAGGGGGCGTGTCGTAACCGGGGGATAAAACTGAAACTACAAATTGAAATTATTTGTTCTTTAGAAAGAGGTGTTTTCCTTCTAATCACAGTGATGTGGAAAAACAGCCAATCAGTGGAGGTCTTGACCGGTAGAATAGATCTCTATTGTCATTTTCTATAACACTCAGATACTCAGTTGATTCAATCCCTGATTCTTTGCCAGTTCGATTTACAGTTTTCTCCGATTGCTATGACACATTTCTCAATACTTTAACAAATTTTCCTAAACTCTTAACACACCAGCACACCTAAAACACACGATTGGCAAAACAGTTAATTTCATGCTCAAAAACAGCCATTGTAAACTAAACTCTCACACTCATTTTCAAAATAGAATAATACACAAACACATTACACCATGTCCACCAAAACACTGTAAACATGTCTCAGAATAAAAACAATCTTCCAAAACACTAACAAAGGTTGTCTTCCAACAGGAACATTTAGTCAAGCACATCAAAATGTCATACAAAACACTAACACCAGATGGAATAACAGAAACTACTGTACATTACTTTACATGTGTCAGGTCTGCCCTTATACAATAGACAGTATATTGTATTGATCATAGATTGTGTTTAGCAATGCATTTTCTTTTGAAGCCTCTCTACATTTCCGTTTTGTTGGGTTTAGTAAATGCATGTATTTTGTTTCCTTTGCTGCAGAAATTCAATAGAAAGACTGAATGACCCAAATCAGAGTAGCTTTATAGAATCTACGGTTTATGAAAAAAAGAAGACAGAGACAGAATTGCTCAGTAAAGGTTTTATTACATTGTCAGCAATCACCATGTTGATAATGGCAAGTTCCTGTTCTTCATTTACAGTATAGGTGCTTTCCTCTGCCCCCTGAGGGAGGTAGACTTTGAATCCTCAGAGAGATAAAATACAGTTACATATTAGAAACCGAATGCTTACAGTACCTGTAATACAAGGTAAAAATGATTTACTCTTTGCAGTAGGATAAGCCATTATACAATATCCTGTTGGTTTATGAACAATTCGGACAATGGATGCCACTGTGTCCTGTCTAAGATTTGGCTGTACTCATTCACCAGTCATTCTGTATGATAGCCCGTGGTGTATGACAGGGTCTATGATAGTAGCTCTTATTTCATCAGTTACCTTAGCTCTGGCCATTCTTTGAGCGCCACCACACATTCTACCTCCTCTCCCTCTACCTTATCCTCGTCAAGGTATTCCTCTCCCTTGCCGTTGTCCCCCTCTCCCATGTCCTATTACACTCTTTACATTTTTTACATTTTTAATATTTATACCTTTTTTTATCTTATCTTACAGTATATTCTACATTTACTGTATGTGTATTACTGTAGTAATTTTTTAGTGTTTATTGTATGGCCTTGCGAAACAGTCTTTACATTTCACTGCACATCTGTTGAGCATGTGAAAAATCTTGAGCCTTCCTCTCCCTTTTCCTGCTACTCGTCTTCCTCTACCTTTTCCAGCTACTCGTCTTCCTCTCCATTTTCCAACTACTCGTCTTCCTCTACCTTCTCCTGCTACTCGTCTTCCTCTCCCTTCTCCTGCTACTCGTCTTCCTCTCCCTCGTGCAGGCATTGTATTTACTTTCTTTATGTTGCTCTATATTGTTCCTTTTGCACACAAGATCAGCCCAAAGAGGTCATTTTTTACTGTGTAGCACTTTTTGTACCCTTTTCAATTGGCAGCGCCCTAGATTCGTAAACTTAATTCCCTTGTGTGTGTTAGTTAACCCTCTATTTATAAATTTAGAGACTTTTTTTACTTGGTGACACTGCACCTTTAATTTAAAAGTTAAATGATTATCATGCACCTCCTTTTTTTGTGGTCTTACTGATAATATAAACGCATTAAATAAATCACATGACAAATATGTCCCAAGGATCTACCCGGAATTTATTAACAAAAAGAAAATGTTGGTAGAAAAGCAAACTACTGACTTTTCTCAGATGAGAGTTTTAACTCAGCTGACTGAATTAAATGTAATGTTCCTGAACTTTGTTTTTATTCACCCAAAACACACTGTACCATAGAAAACCTCTATTCATAGTAAACACCAAAAAAAGCTCTTAACACTTTTATGAAGTACTAGAAATAAACTTGTGGGCCCCCACACACACACACACACTCTCACAAGCCGGCAAAAATAAAATAAAACAAACCCCCGTTGCAGGCCTGGTTGAAGGTGTAGAGTTGCGGCTAGTTACCAGGCAGGAATGGTGAATACTCACAGTAGCAGAATTCAAATCACTAGCATCACAGAAATGCCCCTCGAAGCTAGTGGGATACACTGGCGGGCTGATGGCGAACTGCGGGCGGGCTGATGACGAGCGGGTGGCGGGCAGGCTGAACGTGGCAGACCCTCAGCAGCGGAAATCTTGTTTCTCACTCAGTGGTATCAGAGTACAGCTAGCCGCTGCTCTCCCTCTCAACAAAAGTCTTACAAACTTCAAACAGCAACAGTCTCTTACTCAACTCGCTGAAAACAAAGCTAGCGGATTAATGGCTGACTGCGGAGGACCGTCGGAGTAGGAAAAATCCTCTTCCCTCGTCGTGTCGGAGCTCAGCTAGCTGCTGCAGCAGCAAAGTCCTTATTTCACCTCCACTCGAGGTGAAACACTCCGGGGAAACTGTTAACTGATCGAGCTGGACAGTAAAAACTCACTTTTCAGTCTTTTAATTCTGCTTCACGCTGCTGCTGCCGCTGACTTCTCTCTCTCGTCTCTTTTCTTCACTGTTTACTCTCACCGCTAACTCCACCGCAAATCACCAAACAGGAAAAATGACATGACTTATTAACAACGAATAACGTACATTAAAATCTATCAACATAGGTTGTACCCTGTAAACTCCACATGTTAGCCAAGTACACTGCAGACAAACTATTTAAAGTGGCAGTATAAGGTTGAAAATAACCAAGATAACATCAAAACACATTGATTCACTACAAGAACTTAAATGAACCTCTTAATTGACAACAAAACCTATGTTTTCGAATATTAAGAGTCATTTAAATTACCCAGGGCTACACCCTCCCCCTACTAAACGTCTGATGGTTATTTTAAGGGATCTCTGAACTGAAAGTAAGAAAAGGTGTAATAGTGTCTTTGGTTTCTGTGTCACAGCTTATTTGAATTATCATGCCTCTAGAAACTATAGTCACAGGTCTGTCAGGCCGTTTTGCATAGGAAGTTTGGGAGGACTCAGCAACTACAGCCGAGGTGCTAGGGACAGGGACGTCTCCCTGGTCCAGCTCTGTGTACACCAGAATCGCTGATGCTTCTGGTTGTTCATCCACTGGACTCTCCACTTCAGGTAAGTCAAGAATGATGGAGCCGATACTGGTAGGTGTGTCATGAATGACCTGAATATCTCTTTGTTCAGCCTCCTGGCTTTTGGCTTCTGGACATAAACAGAGAGTCAACTGGGGTAAGTAGTAATTACTTTCCTCTTCAGACTCTGAGGTCCATTCCTCCTGATCCACATATTCTGTATTCTGTTTTTGACTTTCATCATCACACTTTGCTTTAGCTTTCTGTGCCCTCGTCATCGGTTTCTTTGGTTGCATTATCTTCTCTGATGGAGTAGACAGCCTCACCAAGTAACCAATTGGCAGCAAATGATCTCTGTGTACAGTCTTTACTATGCCTGTTCCTCTTTCTGGTTTCATATGATACTCTGGAAGGTTGGGTAACTTTGCTATTACCACATAGGGCAAGGAGTTCCATCTGTTGTGTAGTTTGTGTTTTACATTGATGCTGAAATTGCGAACCAGGACACAGTCACCTTCCTGAAGTGTCTGATTTCTCACTCTCGCATCGTACAATCTTTCGTTTCGTTCTTGATTTTTGGAAGCTGCTTCAGCTGCTAGCTGGTAAGCGTTCCGCAACTCTTTTTTCATGTTGGTCACGTACTGGTGATGCTTAAGGCCATCCTCCTCATCCTGACCAATGCCAAAACACAGATCCACTGGTAGCCGCGTCTCTCTCCCAAACATTAGAAAATAGGGTGAGTACCCCTGGTTTTACATTTAAATTACCCAGGGCTTCACCTGTATAACATATGGGCATGCGATTGAAAGAACCGATTTAGAGCGTGATTTAATCGTATAATCTGCATATCGACGAGAAGTGACCCTGAACCAGCCTTCCGCTCTGATATCTCTAGCGTGAATAGATTCGGACAGCAATGGCTGGAACAAGCGCTAATGTTAGCTAGCTGACCTGAGGTCTGTGGCTCAGTTGGTAGAGTCGTTGCCTCTCAACCGGAAGCAGCTGAGCAACACGTCCGATGTGTCGGTGGCGGTGTATGAATGGATTAGTGCTAATGTACGTCTGCTAAGTGAATTGTATCATTGTGTAACATGAGGCCTTGTGCAGCCGTTATGATGGGGCCTCAAATTCCTGCGTTGTCCATCGTCCTTCTTCCATTCATCCCTCCATCCCTCCACTCTTCCCTTCATCCCTCCATCCTTCCCTTCATCCCTCCTTCCCTTCATCCCTCCATCCCTCCACCCTTTCCTTCATCCCTCCACCCTTCTTTTCATCCCTCCTTCCCTTCATCCCTCCACCCTTACTTCATCTCTCCATCCCTCCACTCTTCCTTTCATCCCTCTATCCTTCCCTCCTTCCCTCCATCCCTCCACCCTTACCTTCATCTCTCCTTCCCTCCACTCTTCCCTTCATCCCTCCACCTTCCCTTCATCCCTCCACCCTTCCCTTCATCCCTCCTTCCCTTCATCCCTCCATCCCTCCACCCTTTCCTTCATCCCTCCACCCTTCTTTTCATCCCTCCTTCCCTTCATCCCTCCACCCTTACTTCATCTCTCCATCCCTCCACTCTTCCTTTCATCCCTCCATCCTACCCTCTATCCCTCCACCCTTC